AAAACATAGTACGTGACAAAGTAGAAAAATTCTTCTTTCACAAATAAAAACTTATGAATTACTAATTAAATGGCAAGGTTGGCTAGTCAATAGGAATAAAAATTCTTTTGACACCGCATAAGCACCAAAAAGGGGTGGTTCGCATTTCTTCTAAAATGAAATTGAACAAAATATGATTGGTTTTCATTTTATAACCTGTTGACTGGGAAGAAACGATGAGAACGTTGGTAAATAAATAGTTTTTAATATTTATATGTGTGAGTCTAATATATACTGGACAAAATGCAAGCACATTACTGAGCAGATTCCGAAGTGACTGAACGTTTATTTTACTTTTCGGTGCCAAAGAAGACACTTCTCCACAATGAAGATTGCAATGATCCTGATTTGTGCTGTTTTGATGGTTTGTGTGACGGTAGAAGCTAAAAGAAAGGCCCGTAAGTCAGTGTAATGTTTCGTTCTACTAGCATCATACTCGAGTCATTTTCAATTGACCGTCTAAAGTAATCAGTCATTTGCTCTTCTTTGTGCTGCAAGCAGTTAGTGTATGTTTACACTTTGAGATTTCATTAATCCTGGTGACTGTTAAAAGTTCCGTTGGCGATTTTAAAAACAAATAAAACAAAGTCAATGTTTTAAGTTCTCTTTCAAAATGTTTTCTATGTCCATTCATAGTTCATATGATGAAAAACTGCTCTTGCAGACCGTCTTTTTGGAAGAAATCTTAAGGAAAGAGTAACAATCGATATTTCATCTTTGAGCAAATTCTAAATCCTTTTTAATAACACTTTCAAGTGATTCCCATCACAATCAAAATGATTTAAGTATCTCCGCTCCTCTATGGAAATCATTCAACTTCCTTGCTTTTTTCTTCATTCCTTACCCAGCAAAAACTATTTGTAACAGCAATTAACTGAAATGTGGTAATTTAAACTTTATTTGACGATTTTTGGCCTTCTAGGTGATGGGGAAGGAGGTCACAAGAAACGTAAGTTTCCCTTGCAGACTGCATTATCTGCCATCTTAACTCCATTATTTCCATACTTTGAAAAAAGATTTACTGGCCTCAGTTAGAGAAGTTTGTCAGGAAAAGAAGTCCTGTATTGCGACATCGCTGTCACTTATAAAAACACAATTTATTGAGAAACGAAGATGTAAGTCAGACTTCGTTTTTACCCGTGATCGAAATGATACTTCATAGGTCAAACAACGATAGCTTAATATCTATATGGTTTCTGGAGGAAAACTCTCTTCAAGAGACCCTCTGTCTAACCTGAGGAGCAACAGTCAAATTGAGTTCAACTTTTTTTACTTTATTCAGCGTGTATAGCCGAAGAAGCTGCCAGTGCAAAATACAACACAGTAATTTTTAGCTGAATCGCAAAGCCAAATCTCAACTTTTTTTTCATTATTCTATTTTTTGCGGTGATTGGTCAAAATGCTGGCCCCATTCAACCAATCAGATTTTAATGGACGTTTTCCCGTCCTTTGCAAATTAAAGTTCGCGCGTAGTTTCTCTCTATTCTCATAGGTAAATTGTGTTACGTACAGTTTTCTGTGATTGGTCACAGCATTTTCTTTGGTATTATTACGAGACTGAGAACATATACCTTCTCTTTAGGTCTAAAGTTGCTGTAAATTACCCGGGGTAACCTGAGTCAAATTGAGTTCAACTTTTTTTACTTTATTCAGCGTGTACTGCCGACGAAGCTGCCAGGGCAAAGTGTATGAACGGGGGAACGTGTTTCGCCCTGGAGACTGGTCCGGGACAAAGGCATGAAAGTTGTGGT